ACAAAAAAATCTGAAAACGTTTAGTAGTATATCTGGGGACAGCTATTTAACAGATAATGCTAGCTGCAAGGTAGATTTGGGAATATAACGCTTTTAAAAATCTTTTTTGTGAGCTCAAGTTTTGACTTGCCAAAAACGCACCTCTCTAGGGCGGGTTTTTTCATTTTTTTTTGCCCAAAACTAAGTAAATAAAATTTTTTTGTTTAAAACCATTTCAGATTCGGATTCCTCATTGCAAACTGAGACTAAATGCCGATTTTTATCTTCCTAGTATCATACGATCTTAATTGGGACTTAATGTCGAATAAGACCAGGAAATCTGAGTTGAAAGTTTAACTACATTTTCCTGGGAGTTCAGGGTTTCTGAATCATAGCCCTCAATTTCTTAACCCAAACTTTTCTGTGGGTTCCCTGGGTCAAGACAAGTCCAACCATATATCATTTTTTGATTTTGGACGATTGGTTGAATTTTTAGGGTAAAAAAACCAAAATAGGTCTTAACCCCAATTTTTTCCAAAAACGCACTTGTCCTAAAATCTCATTCAATTGTCTTTAGAGAGAAAATAAATACACTACAGTGTAGGGTTTTTCAAGAGAAAGACGAATATATTGCTTTTAAGTTGGTTAGAAGACTTTTTACATTTTTTTTTTTTGACAAAAGAAAAGTCGGGACTTTTTGGATTTTTTCGGTTAAAAAAACCAAAAAATTGCATTTTTTAATACTTTTTCTGTTTCAAAAACAAAAAAAAACAGTTTAGCACAACCTATTGACCCAAACGACACTCGACAATCATGTATAGAACATACTCACTTTGTTATGAAAAATTGGGCTTAACCCCAAAAATGACCAAAAACGCACCCATTTTCGAGTAAGTTTTTTTTTGCCTTAAATTGATAAAAATAGGCCCCAATTGACATTTTTGGAAACTAGAGACCATATACTAGCTGTCCCGATCTCTTAATTGATGAAAAAAAAAATTTTTTCTATGCGAACTCGGCTAAACCCAACTTTCATTTTTCTTAATTTCAACCAAAAATGACCCTAATATTTTTTTAATCAAAAGCCGCAAAAGGATAAAAAAGCATAGGGATTGGTGTAAATGCTCTCGAGAGTCCATATATGACCTCTATTTATCCTAATTCGCAATAGTTTTTGATTTTCTCAGGTAGGGTATTTTTGAGGGTCAGTTACAAAAAGCCACCGGTACTAGGCTTAGGGTTACGCTTTGTGAGCACAATAAATTCCATGTTTCTGATTCAATATGAAATCGAAACAGTTTTTTTTTTTCGTTCGGTCGAAAAGTAGCCGGTTTTTGTCTAATCTACGCTTGGGTCGAACGCATTTTTTCTTAGCGTAGTCGGATGAAACATCTCAGTCGAATAATTTCGGAAGCCAGTTTCAGTTGAATAGATCGAAAAATAGCACGCTTGAGTCGAACATATTTTTCCTTCAGTCGAGTGTGTCGAAACATAGCCGTTTTTGGTCGACTCCATCGAAAAATAGCTATTTTTGGCCGAGTCGTTCGAAATTAACTCGAACATTTCAACCCGGGATGTTTTGTGTTATTATTGTGTTAAATTAAGCAGTGGTTTATTTTGCCCAAAATCTTTTTGTACGCACATGCAGCAATTGTATCCCGTGAATTAAATTAATTTGAGGTAAATAATTCGGGCGTTGAACAAGAAATGAGAACGCACTTCCTGTACAACTGATTGTTCTCATGGCGAAATTCATCTCAAGTGTTTGTTTTAAGAATATCATTGATTCTGCTGAAAATGGTGCTTGTTTGTTCTTTTCTGTAAAATTTTCTTTGTTTTGCCCGTGCTCGTTTCACCTGTCATAAAACACAAATTACAAATTATTTAAATTAAAATAAATATTTGGCGGCTCATTCTTTGAAATATAAATATCGCAATTAATTAACTTTCTCTTGCCTGAAATTTTTCGATATGAATGTCAGTAATTAGAAGTTCGAAAGCTTGTACATAGATAATACTGAAAGCTCTGGGTGCTTGTTTCCTTTATTATATCGGGGCAAGTCAACCTGGTTTGTATTAGTTGAGCTAAATAATTGTTCTGACTTTTGAAAGAGCGGAATAACAGTGTAGTGGGTGTTTTTTTTTCACTCAGAATCAGATACCACAAATAAGGATCAGTAGTCAACGAAAACAATAATTAGAGTTCTAGGAAAGTTTGAGTTTATCTGCTCTCATCACCTATGAAAAAGCAAAAATAATAATTGCAAAATAATTGCAAATAATTGTGTGAAATAATAATTGTGGTTTGAACTTTCTGTGCTATTTGCCCAACAACGGATTATTGTTCCGGTCATTGAAATTGGGAGGAACTTTGTATTCGGGTGTGTTTTAGTTTTTTTTTCCACGCAAAGTCAGGTACGACACATTATTATTGTAATGAGTCGAGTGATCAATCATATTAAAGCCCTTTTAGTCATGATTCGAACGACTCTTTTCAAAAACTATCGCAGTTTCGAGAAAAACCGGTTTGAAATTTTTATTTGACCTAATTTTGAGCGAGTAAAGCGATCGAGCGAAGAACGATCGTTAGGCAAAATTGTCATCTAGACTAAAAAACCTTGATTTAACTAAACAAACTAATCGTGGAAGCTTTGGCAATAATTATTTTCTTAAAAAAATGAAAAAATTTTATGCTTTTTTTAAATTTTTTGTTCGTTACTTTTAGAAGACAACTGTTGTCGGTGATGTCTAATCGACTAACTTATAACGCATTCGTATAGTTTTTAAGTTCTTTCATCACACCACGCACAAGAAATGACACCATTTCAAAGACATAAAAAAACTTAAATTTTAGTTGAATGTGGTCTGAATGTTCTGTGCTACTTGCTCAGCAACCGGATTTTCTTCTTTTACAGCTCAACAAAAAATGACCAAAAATTTTGATTTAGATTTAAGCACCACCTCCTAACATTTCGAAATTTCGATCAAGACCTCCTTTTTTCTTTATCGTAATGCAACAACTCACAAGAAATAGCTCACAACAAAACATGGCTAAAAGCGACTGTTGGAAAAAAGTCAATGAACGCAAGGAAACATAAATTATAATATTTACTAAGATTTTGAACAAACTTCAACTTTCTGATTTCAAACAAATTACAGCTCCTCGAATTTCAAGAGCCTTTTTGTGATTGACACATTTTTGGATAAAATTAGCCAATATGAGAAAAATGGATCAATCAATACAATTTTAATTCCGCTGAGAAAACTTTAAATTGAAATCCACTCATGAAGTATGAAGTCGATCACTTTTTTAAAGACCTTCAAGCATCTGCCGTTCGATAGTAGAGTTTGCTTTCTTTAACAAATGAAATGAAAAACAAATCAAAAGTCAAATCGTGGAAAATCAAAATTCAAGGTGAATAAGTTTTCAGACTTTTCCTGAAATAAAAGCAGAAATTTTATTGCCAAAGAAGTGATGAATGGAACTCACATACCAGTTTTTATTTCAATAAAACCAATTTTTTTGAACTGTTATCATATAACCAACACTACTCGATCGCTCCACTGGCTTGAAATTTGACTAAATTTCAGAAATTTTGTACCGGTTTTTTCTCGACACGGACAATTTTTTGAGAATTTTTTCTACTGTCCTCCAAATCACTTCTAAAAGTGCATTAAACTGATATATCCCTCGACACATTCCAATCAGTATTTGTGGGGCCTGATTTTGCGTGGAGAACAAAAAGAAAAATCTAAAACACTCACGAATACAAATTTTTCTCCCATTTCAATAGTGGGAACAAAGAATTCCAGACAAAGAATGAAGTGAAGATACTGAAGATCTTGCTTAAAGAAAAGTATTAAAAACTTTTCACGCCGTAGTTTGCAGAGGTTGGCTTCTGATTAAGAGTAATGAACGTAGTGAAGACTCTTGTATAGGTCTTGCTGATTTTTTTTTCAGTAAAAAGTTTTAAAATATTGATTGACTTAGGTATAATGAACTTTTTGAGTTCAATTGAAATCCATCTGCTGAAAGTGTTGTAAATAGCACTCTCCAAATGCGAACGTGGAAATGGCGCGAAAAAACTGAACGATTTCTTGTTTCGAAAGTGGTTTTTAATTTTTAGATTTCCAGCAGAATTAAAACTTTACCTATTGATCCAGTTTTCTCTAGTTGGGTTCGTCTGATCAGATTTCCAGCGGAATGAAAGCTTCACCTTTTGATCCAGTTTTCTCTAGTTGGGTTCATGTTATCAAAAAAGCGCCGCTCATAAATTGTTCTAGAAGTTCGAAGAGCTTAAAGGGCATCTATTTTTTTTCTTTGAAATTCGAAAGTTGAGATTTTTTCAACAAATTCAGTGTTTTTTTTATATTTACTTGCGTTCATTACTCCTTTCCAATCTTCGATTGGCTATTTTTAATTTCATATTCACTTGCTATTCAAAAGTTTCTGGTAAACGATCATAACGAAACTGATTTATCTGTTGGAAATGTTTCCATCACAACTCGAATCTTAATGAAAATGTTTTAATTAGGTGTGCCTTTCTACCAATTACATGTTTTTAATGTTATCTGGCTTATGTGGAAAGAACGGCAAAAGCCAACCCGTGTTTTTATAATTTTAACCTATCATTAATTGATGTTGCTCTAGAAAATTGCTCTGCCCGTAGTTAGATCAATATTATGGCAACTGATAAAAGCAATAGGAAACGCTATAAAAGACAACTCCTACAAACTAACTACGAGCAGAGCAATTTTCTTTTATAGCGTTTCCTATTGCTTTTATCAGTTGCCATAATATTGATCTAAATAATCAGTAGGTTAAGAATAAATTTTTTTAGCTTACTGGACGGAGCATTTGATTTGTTCTTTTCTTCAGTTTGCTTAATTTGATAATAACCTCACTGCACGCTCTGTCTATCTGTAGGCAGATAAATGCTGCCTCAATCAAGTAACTAAATGTTTCATAGATAGCATAGGTAGCTGAATTGAAGCGTAGATTGTTTGCCATTTTCAGAGGTACATGAAAACAATGTGGTACTTCGTGCCAATTCCTCTGTTAGTCCTGATTCAAATCTATCTGGCGCCTTACACAAAAGTAGAAGAAAGCTTCAACATTCAAGCTATTCACGACATTCTTCAATTCCGATTGAATATTTCTTCCTACGATCACAACGAGTTTCCTGGAGTGGTTCCGCGGACCTTCATCGGACCTCTAGTTGTCGCGATTCTTTCCGCTCCTGTTCATTTTTTCATGCGACGATGCGACCAGCCTTTAATTTATTCTCTTTATTTAGTTCGAGGTGTTTTATCTGCTGTAAACATAGCTGCGCTGTATCTATACATAAAACAAGTTAAAACTAATTTCGGACCTCAAGTTGCGAAAGCTACATGTTTCATTACTGTGTGTCAATTCCATTTTTTGTATTACATATCAAGACCGCTGCCTAATACGTTTGCAATGGGACCCGTTTTAATGGCATTATATTTTCTTATGCGAAACGAAATTAGTCGGTTTATATGGACTTCTGCCTTTGCGATACTTATCTTTAGATCAGAACTGGCTGTATTTTTGGGTCTCTTCCTCTTAGCCGAAATTTTTGAGGGGTCAAAACCAATAGCAAAAGTATTTATACAGGGTTTTTTGGCGCTTATTACCTGGATATCGTTAAGCACAGGTATTGATTCTTTTTTTTGGCAAGAAACAATTTGGCCCGAAGGAATGGTGTTTTATTTCAACGTGGTTCTAAACAAGAGCTCTGCTTGGGGCGTTTCGCCTTTTCATTACTACTTTACAAAACTCTTGCCAAAAGCCTTAGGCCCGCTAGTCCCAATTTTGATGCTGTTAGCGCTCAAAATTGATACCAGGTTTCGAAAACTGGCCTTACCTTGTGTCGGATTTGTTTTCTTGTACTCATTTTTACCTCATAAAGAGCTGAGGTTTGTGATTTATACAGTACCAGTGTTTAACGTTATCGCTGCGAGAGGCTGGGCGTTTTTCTCGATCAATGCCAGCAAAAGATTCACATTCAGATTTGTACATTTTATCAATGGATGTATTCTTATCGCGTGTTTTGCGGCGTCGACTGTTATGTTTATGTGCTCTATGGAAAATTATCCAGGAGGCGTGGCCTTAGATAAATTCCACAAATACGTTTCACCGAGCTCAGAGATCAATCTTCATATGGATAACCTTGCATGTCAAACAGGAGCAATTAGATTCGGCCAACTGAACCCAAATTGGGTTTATAACAAGACGGAGAAGTTGAAACCAGGGTGGCAAGACACTCTTAGTTTTTCACACCTGCTGGTTGACATGTCCACTGATTACCAGGTGTATAAAAGTACCCATACAGTTTTGTTCACGGTCAGAGGTTACTCCGGTTTGAATTTGGGTTTATCATGGCCTTTTGTGGAAGTGGTCACTTCTCCGAAGATAGTGGCCTTGCAACATAAGAGATATGAAGCGAGAAAAGGCAGGTTCAAATCAGTCGACGAGGATTAAAGACGAAAGATGCGAACAGTTTTGGACGATTATTAATCTCATCGAAAGAGTTTGTAAATAGAGTCATATTTCCATGTGCAGAAGTTGTCTTACAGCCAAACACGCACGGTAGAAATAATGTTGCTCCAAATTTCGGATACCTAGGAAGAATGACCGCAGCTTCACCAGTAGATGAATCTCTTAATATTCACATTTAATGAAAAGAAATCGGGAGTGAATCGCGAATTTATCATACTCAGCAGTAGAATGATTGCAAGGGATCTGTATTTATTTGAAGACAAACAAAAATTATTTGCCAAGGATGGAAAGAGTGCAACAAGAAAAAAAGGCTGAAATTATGGTTTCTTTCTCGGAAGTGGAATAGCCATGAATAGAAAACTCGTTTCGAAGTAAAAATTCAATAGCAGATGACAAGAATTTCTGGTGATATATTACAATAGGTGGTAATTTAAAGTTAAATAGCTGGATCTCTTTTTAATATACTGCGCACAGTATTTATAATTTATTTCAAAAGCCAAATTTTTTGGCAAAAGAAGTGCAAAATTTGATTTTTTGATACATGCACTATAATTAAAATTACCACTTATTGTAATACATCACCGAATTTCTACTTCTATCGTTGTTCATTTGCTTCTAATATGATAAATGACAAATGACGTCGGTGAACTTGTAAACTCATTTCCATTCGTCAATTCTGTATTTGTGTAGTGTATTGTTTACTTAGGAAGACAAAAATTGAAGTCAGTTTAACAGTCTTTTTTTCGGTTCTAGCGAGAAGGAATCTTAGCGAGAAACCGTATATTATTTGAAAAGTAAGTTTTTCGGCTTTCTTTTCAATTAAATTTTGTCTCTTCAGATAAATGGAACATAGATTTGATTTCTACTTGCTCATTTTTACACAAGGAAAGCTTGTATGATATTATGAACTCTTTTTTTTCAACCTGAGTCGAAAATATTGATGCGACAAAATGTGTTCATTTTGAAAGTGTTCATTTTGATCAATAACCAGCTATTAAGTACAGCCAATGCTAAGGATATTAACACAGACTATTATATTACAAATAGCACTTAAGCTTCAAGTTATCATGGTTCTGTAGCGTAGAGGTAGGGAAGGATACCTGCAACAAAATAAGAGGGTTCGAACCTGGGCAGGGTCGGATGTTTTAAATGTACTTTTTCGTGTACTAGTTTAAATGCGTCTGCTCTACAAATTGAGGCATGATAGTTGGTAAATTTCTTTTTTTTTCAAATTGACTGGTACTGCTAATGCGTCACCTAGCAATTATGTAGACTCATAATTGGCATGTGTCACTTGAGACATTTTGTAGACTCAAAGTTTTACTCAAACATCCTAGTAGCATTATCGGTCATATTTTTGCTTGTGTATGCGAACTGCAACTTCGCCTGTGTTGATATTGCTTTAAGAAAATTTATCTATCATGGTTAAGGCAAAATTTGAGTCAAATTGATCTTTAAATGAAGAGAATGGCCGTGCCCGAGTGAATAAGACGCGCTGACATAAACGCGATGGCCGTGGATTTGAGTAAGGGGCGGGGATCCAGACGACGCCGCCTTCCAGTGGTGGATCCGACATCTTGGGCCCCACCAAGATGCAAATGGCGTCAAGCCCCCCCTCCCATTGGGTCGGGAGAAGCTCAGAAGTCTCCGGGTTTTCGGTTACGGAGCGTCTGAAGCCGGCCAGGCTGCTCCGTCTGCTCATCCTTATACTACTACTCCGCTCCGGCATTAATCCAAAACCTGGTCCAGGGCCTTACTTTTGCTCCCCTTGCTCTTTCCGCATCAAACGCACCCAGCCCAGTGTCTGGTGCCACATCTGTGGTTACATTCACCTTAAATGTAGTGGTCTTACCCACCTTAACCAACACCACCCTGACTACTATTGCCCTACCTGTACCTCTACCTACATTTTACCTCCCCAGGCACCAGGTCCTCTAACTTGACCACCCCCAACTCCCAAACTTGTTCAACTTCCCTAACCGCCCCCCAACCCCACCTCCCTAACCCCCCTCCCCCTCCCACCCTTCCCACCTCCTCGAATAATAATTCCTCCTCCCAAAATCGCGCAAATCGTAATCGTGTAAATAGTGTAAATAACTCAAGTTCAAACAACCATTTTAATCATACTGCTGTTAATAATGTAAATAGTTCACCACACCCCGCCAAAGGCCTTTTAAAAATCCTTCAATTTAATTGCAACGGTATCTCCGGAAAAGCACCCGAAATTGCTGCTTTCTTATCTCAAAATCAAATTCATATTGCTGTCTTCCAAGAAACTAAATTAAGAAAGAAATCTCGAAACCCCTCACTTGGCTCACACTACACTTTAATTAGAAAAGATCGAGAAAAAGAAGGGGGCGGTCTTCTCATAGCCATACATGAGTCGATACAATACGAAGAAATAAATATTAACAACGATGGAACACTAGAGGCTATGGGCATATCAGTGGTAGCCAGTTCATCCAAGCTTTGTATTTATAATTTCTACATCCCCCCTCGCTTGAGCTGTCCCCCTGGTTACTCTGCGTCCCTTGCCGAACTACTTGAACCTGGGGACGCCTTAGTACTCGGGGATGCCAACGCACATTCACAACTATGGAACTCCAACATCGAGGAAGATCAACGCGGCTCTGTACTTAGCAATGAAATAACCGAATCCACCTTTGCACCATTAAATGATGACACACAAACCAGAGTCCCTTTTAACTCAGAAAACCAACTCTCGTCACCAGATATTTCCCTCGCATCCCAATCGCTCTTACTCTCCACATCATGGACCCCAATTAAATCTCTAGGATCAGATCACCTACCCATTCTTCTAGAACTACCCTTGGATGATTTTATAAATTTTTCACCTAAAAGGACTTTTATAAATTTTTTAAAAGCTGATTGGATCAAATTCACAGAGGAAATTGAGGAGGGTTTCTTTTCAGCGGTTCCACCTTCCGGAGTTGCCGCCGGAGAGAAATTCTTGAGGGACCTGGTGCTCAGGGCAGCACGCCACCACATCCCCGCTGGCCGTATTCGCCACTTCACTCCCTCTCTTTCCCCCGAGTCCACTGCCCTTGCCGCCGAAAGAGATTTAAGCCGACAACAAAATCTCCCCCCAGAAGTCATATCCCAACTGAACTGTAGACTCATGAAACAGACAGCAAAGGACAAAGAAAATAAATGGCGAGAATTCCTCCGGACTTGCGACTACCGCACTGGTGCCAGAAAGTTCTGGAAAGTGGTACGCTCCTTAAATGGATCTAAGCCCGTGGCAGGAAGACACCCCATTACTTTTGGTTCTAAACCCATACACTCACCTCGTGATATTACCAGCTCTTTTAACAAACAATTCACCAATGCCAGACCCCACGCCTCTGACAAACTCCTTCGTATAACGAGAAGAAAAATTGCCAAACTACCGCTGTCAGACAGCCCAATTTTTACCCCTGAAAATACTAAACAAGCCATTGCAGACAGCAAACCATCGCGAGCGCTAGGTCCCGACGGCCTTTGTAATATACATCTTAAACATCTCGGCCCACTTCTACTCAATACTTAACATACCTTTTTAATATCTCTTTGTCCGAAAACATTATCTCCCAAATTTGGAAAAATTCAAAAATTGCACCGCTTCCAAAGCCCAATAAGGATCTTAAACAATCAACATCTTACAGACCTATATCCTTACTCTGCCCAGCAGTTAAAATTCTGGAGAGGCTCGTTCACCCCATCTTTACCAAACATCTCCCCAACGCCAAACACCAACACGGCTTCCGCCCTTTTCACTCCACCACCACAGCTCTCTCCACTCTCGAATTTTACATTTCAGACGGTTTTAACCAAAATCGCCCCCCTGAACGTACGGTACTGGCCACACTTGACTTATCTAAGGCTTTCGACATGGTGTGTCATCGCTCACTTGTGGAACTCGTTCATGACACTCCCCTCCCAAGAAGTCTAGTCCGCTGGCTAAGTAATTACCTTAATGGTCGACAGGCTGCCACCTCATTCCGTGAACACACATCCCCCCATCGAATAATCCACTGTGGTGTACCCCAAGGTTCTGTTTTATCACCCACACTCTTCAATTTTTATGTCCATGATGCACCGCCACCTCCTGATAATGTAAACCTTGTTTCGTATGCAGACGATTTCCACCCCTTCGCAAGCAGTTCCAATATTGATATCGCCTCAAACTCCATCAATAGCTACCTAAAAAGGCTCTACGATTTTTTCACCTCACGCAAACTAAGTTTCGCGTCCTCTAAAGGATCAGTTACACTTTTCTCCTCTTATAACAAAGAATTTAATAAAACACCTAGTGTTCTTTTAAATAACGAGGCGCTACCCCTAAACAAAAATCCAACAATCTTAGGGGTGACATTTGATCCAACACTTTGTTTTGCCACTCACTGCAAACAATCCGCTGAAAAGGCCAGACGCAGGATCGGAATCCTGAAGGCATTAGCAGGATCAACCTGGGGTCACTCCAAAGAAACCCTCCTCCTAACTTTTAAAGCTTTAATTCGCCCCATACTTGACTATGCAGCCCCCGCATGGTCCCACGCATCAAGTAACACCTCCATAAATTGCCTGCAGGTTGCCCAAAACCAATCCCTTCGCGTTGTTACTGGATCAAATCTAATGAGTTCCACTGCCCACCTGCACAGTGAATCTGAAATCCTAACGGTCAAAGACCACCATACCCTTCTGTCATCTCAATTTTTTATCTCTACCTATCGTTCCCACCATCCCATTAATTTTATACATTCACATCCCCCTCCTCCCCGTCTACTTCGCCCCTCAATTATAAGCTGCTTCAAAGAAGACACCCAGAAAATTTTAACCGACTTTTCAGTCTACGCAAACCACCCTCTAGTTCTGGACGACCGAGACGAAGTCTCCACTTTTATTTTTAACTACTACAAACCAATTTTAAAAGACAACCATACCTCCCTTGTAACCAAGTTCCTAGCCGAAACCCCTCCGTCTAAAGTTATTTGTATCCCTCCCCCAAAGATTGACCCCTCTGAAAAATCTCTCCCACGTCCCACGCGCTGTAAGCTCTCCCAACTCCGGTCTGGCTACAGCCGGCTCCTTAACACTTACCTATCCCGCCTCGACAGCTCCATCTCCCACCTTTGCCCAACCTGTTCCCTTGCCCCCCACACAACATGTCACCTTTTCAACTGCTCCCAAAACCCCTCCCCACTCACCCCAGCAGACCTGTGACTTCGGCCGGTAGAGGTTGCTAAGTTCCTTGACCTGGAGACAGAAGAGCCCAACCCGACCCGCGTGGGCTAACAACAACAACAACAACAGTAAGGGGCGGATTTAGGGGATGGGGGGTTCGGACGCCCCCTTCGTACTATTTTGAGATATTCATATTTTGTGACGGACCCTAAAATTTTTCTAAAGGTGCCTTTGGCACCAATGAATTTTAATTTTGAGGGGGTTGCGCTTGCCGAAAAAACGCTATTTTTTGAAAAAGGTCGAAAAAATTTTCAATTTTTTTTTTGAAAATCCGCCTGGAGAAAATCCTAAATCCGCCCCTGGTTTGAATCATACTTTTTTTTGAATGTCACGGTTGGAGAGGTTCTAGTGTCAATCAGCCTTCTCAAGGTGGGGCATAAAATACAAGTACTTAAGATAAGATAATGGCTGACAATTATGTTTTAACCTTTCAAAACGCGCATAAAGACAACGAAGAGAAAACAGCAATGAAAAATCGGCTGCTCGAAAATTTTCTCGCATTCGAAAATTTTGAAAAGATTTGATTGCAGCTCGAAACAAGACTAAACGGGCTTTAATATGATATATCGTTTCTGTAAGTTTGTTTGTCTTAACTGTTTGCATTGAAAAAAAAACTAGACTTGAAAGTTACTCTACACCTTTGATGCTCGGAATAATAAGTTTCGTTCTCAACAATTTGATGTTTTTTGGCATGTTTTTGTTCTCGATATAGGCTTTGCTTTATTGGCCAGGATTTCATATGACTTTTTGGCGCAGTAACTTATACGTTAGTAATTGCACCAACAAATCCTCGCTGATATACGCTGAATTAAAAGGCATTCATTGCAGCTTGAATATATGAAACAAGCAGCTGCCGTACCGCAGGCGTCAAGGCGAGTTACTACTAATGATATGTTAGGTAGAGATCTCTAAGTCTGCAAAATTATTTGCGAGGATTTTTATGCAGGCATCTTTCAATTATTGAATTTTAAGAGTTTATTCCGTTGACTGGGCTTGCGAAGTCATCTCTGTAAGTAATTTTTGAAAAAAAATACCGGTATCGATTTTCTATTCGTGCTTTTTTGTAGTTCTGTTAAGACTGACGTAAGAAAGCTATAGCACACGCGACAAATCGTTTTGACAAGTGAAGAATGCTCGCAATTTATTTCACCCTAATTTTGTCAAAAATCTTGCAACTAAGAAGTTAAGAAAGCTGATTTTAGTCTTGATTATGTCAACTGGAGCACTTAAATTCGCTCAGTATGTCAACTGGAGCACTTGAAAGATTATTTTTTGTTCTTCTTTTGCATGCACATTTAATAAGCCTGATCATTGTAGCCTAGTCGATCGTTTTGCAATTTTTCTATTTAGATTTAATAAACTTAAACCACGGTTCTGGCAAAGCTAATTTTGTTAAAGTGGGTCAGCGGGCGAAGGCCACAATTTAACGATTTCCTTAGCTGCAGTGTTTTTGTTATTTTTCATTTGAAAAGATTGCCTATAGGTGTCATTAAGAAAGCCATTATTTCCGAGCCAAAAATAAGTCGTTATTTCAAAAGTTTTATTTTCATTTTCGAAGTTTTTGCAGCGTGCGGTATAAATTATACTGCACGGATTGAAAAAAAAGATTTTTTGCGAAAATTTGAGATTTCTTTTTGAGATAATGGTTTTGTTGATTGGGTTTGAAATATAACCGCTTTCCTACTGACAAATATTTTAAGGACAAATAATTTCATAATTCTTTGGAAGACAAATAAGGAAACTCGCTGCAGCTAATGAAATCTCGAAATTCTAGTCTACTTCCGCTTCTCCACTATATAACGATATCAACAGTGTCTGAAGCCTGGTTTCCAGCAAGTTAAAGCTGGATTGAAATTTTGTAAAACCAGATACGATATGATGAGTGACTGACATAAGGTCATTAAACTTCATATATTGCGGTATGATTTTCGAATTCATTTCCATTTTCAATTCACTTCCGTTTGCTGAAATGAAAGCAAATTACGCTCTCAAACTACGAAAGTGCAAAAAGTGGGCAAAATCTGAACAAAGATAGCAGGTTGCTGTGGTAGCACAGAATGTTTTGGCCACATTCTCAGAAAAAAAAAAACGTTTTTTTTTTTCAAGTTTGTTCGTGCGTCGTGTGATAATGGAACTATACGAACGCGTAAAATTTTACGAAAGCGTGATGAACTATACGTATACGAACGCGTGATGAAGTTTTGTTTCGTTTGTCGTGTTATGATGCAACTATACGAACGCGTAAAGTTTTAGTGAACAAGGCATAAACGGCTCGTTTTCTTCAAAAAAATTGAGAAATAAAAAAAACATTTTTCGGAAGTTTTAAACTTTTTACTCTAAAAATTTTATTTTTCTTTTGAAATTTTTTTGCCAGAGATTAGCTCAATAAAGCTTCAGATAATTTTACGTTTTAGTTACATCAATTTTTTTTAGCATAAGTTGCTAATTTTCTTATATAACAAGCGTTACTCGATTGCTTTACTCGCTCGAAAATAGACAAAACATCAAAAATTTCAAACCGGTTTTTCTCGACACAAGGAAAAGTTTTTGGAAACTTTAAAATGTCGTTTGGCACACTATGGGCTTTAATATGATATATCACTTGACCCTGTCGCATGATATTTGACCTGTTTTTGCGTGGAAAACAAAAAACTAAAACACACCCGAAAGCAAAGTTCCTCCCCATTTTAAATGGTCGCAACAATTACCTATAAGTTCGGAAATTGATTTTAGTCAGTTGGAGTCCCAGCGAAATAAAGAATGGCCTATTGGCCCAGTTATCTTTTATTGGATTAGTTTCATTAAAAAATTGTAAAAAATTAGTTTCTTAAAAAAATCAAAGAGCTTAAAGGTGATGGATGCATTTTTCTGCAATCAAAATCAAAAGTTCAAAATATTACAAAACATTAAATCCCTTTTTTCTCTTTTCTGTTGACTATGGTTACCAGCTTGTACAGACTGGTCTAAATTTAAATGTAAAAAGTTTGACATGATAATTTTTGATTTCAAATTACAATTTTGGCATGGATTAAAAATAAGGTTAAGCAAGGTCATTCAATGAAAATGTAGGTAAAATTAGTTGATCGCAGGAAATATTTCATTATAAAATGTCACTTAAACAGTACAAATTTTGGGAAATATCATTTCGCAAATACCGGAATAATACATTTAAATGACGCAGCTTGCGGCACTATTAAATAATCATATTGGAAAACGGGGATTCAATTTTAGCTATGCAAAGTTGTGGTTCTTGATTTAAATATCGACAACAGATTGAGTTTATTTCATGATACGACTCTACAGCGTGAAAACTGTTACCGCATATAGATTTTGTTCAAGTACCGAAGATATCATTTTTCTTTCGTTTTGGCTTCTTGCTGTTTGACTTTACTGAAGAGATTGCTCTATTATAATTCACTTAAAACAGCTTTGCCCTTTTCTTCAATTCAGTCTGTTTCCATTTTGGTTTCTTGCCGAACTCGCCTTTGTTCATGCCAAATATCTGAACGAATTCTTCATCACACAGAAGCAATTCTTTGTTTCCAGGGTCAACATCAAAGGGTAAAGGACGTCCAGAAATCAACTCTTGGTACGTATAGATCACATCCGATAAATTGTTCTCAGCCTTGCTTGAATTCAAAACCTTAATTTCGGATTCAATTTGATCACTGCTGAGTCCTTTCATTTGACCCTTCATCTGGACATATTTCTCAGATGTCAGGAACCGCGAGGGGTCCCAACCTACAAAGAATCCAGTAAACGTCAAGGGTTCGAATCCCTGCTTGAAACTGTACACCGCAGTATCTGGGTCGCGTCGAGCGGCATCCTTTTTGAGGTACTCTAAGGCTAATTGAGGAGCTTTTTTCTTTTCCTCGTTGTTTGCCCCATTACCAATCCAAACATATATGTCGAACCAAGCGTCTAGAATCATAACATCAGTTTCGCAGAGATCTTCTTGAATGAATCCGACAATTTCTTCGGCTCTGAACGTTCCACTTGCATTACTACATTGGAACAGTCGAGGCTCGACCGCGAATGGTTGGTCTTCTCGGACTTTTGTATAGTTTGCTTTCCCGCCTAAATTGATCCAAAACTCATGTGGCTCTTTACCTTCGACAATCAACTCGTAGTCTCTTCCCGACAGAATCCGACTCGCCACTCGGGTCATTTCTCGTTCGTCGCCGTTGCAAAGTTTCCCGAACCAGATGTAAAGTGCTTTCTTTGTTTTGATAATAAAAGCGTCATTTGAGTTCAAATTACTAGCAGTGCATTCGACCTCAACTGCTTTCGTATTCATTGCGTTATCGCCTGTGACTCGAAACAGATGATTTCTAGTTAGATTTGCTGTCTTAGTTGAGTCAATTTGTTTCAAACCGCCGCCTTTTTTAGTGCCTCTGTAGATTATCAGTTTACCCTTAAACAAACACAAAAAGTGGTTCGGTTCTTTACCTTCGACCACTCTAACTTGCACTGCTGCGCCATTGAGTTTGTCGTCGAGCTCGATAGTTTTCAGAGCACAAGTTCCTCTGGCATCTTGAGAACTTCGCGAACCCAGCCAAAAGTACAAAATATACTTTTGAGATCCTTGAGCCCTGTAAGTATACTGAACTATGTAACAATCGTCTGCGAACATTTGACCGTGTAATTCAGGCTCGACCTCGACTATTTCTTTTCTCTGAACTTCCCAAACTTTGACTTCTCCGGAACCATCGTCGACCATTCGGGTTTCGACCGCGACTTCGGGCTTCGCGAGTAAACTATCGGCGTCGAACTTCGTCTGATTATTAATCTTCGCGACTGATCCACGTGTGTACGTGTTGCCCATTCCAACTTGCCCGTATTTGTCACGCCAGTCTTGGAAGTGGAATTTGAACTCGGTACATTCGGCTCCGTCCACCACGGCCACAATTCTAGTTTCGGTCGGGTACTTTTTCGTCTTGATGAACGCCATGGCGTTCTTCATGGCACCTTTTTTCTCTTGTTGACTTGAAAATTTTCCCTTCCAGACATAAATTACACCTGGAGAAGAAAACACTATCAAATTCAAGAACACGTTTTTTTAATGCAGTAGTTGTAAGCGTTTTGCAAATATTGAGCACCATTTTTTGATAAATTTTCCAATCGCTATGGTGAAATCGAAGTCATTTGCGCTGAAAATTTGAGCAAAGCAGTCAATTAAAAATGCTTTGTTCGATAATATGGTGTCACCTTCTTGGTGGAATTTTAGACAACAACCCCTTGAACCAATTATTTTTTGTGCCTACCTGCCAGACAAGTTTTTGAAATTATAAGGGGGATGATAATTTTTCAGCAGAAATTTAGGCCGCGTCTTCCAATTCTACCTACGTGTCAGACATTAAAATAGTCTGCAAATCATTAGAATAATGCACTGGTCCTCCTAAAGCCTGGTCGCCATATCTCCCTAGAACTAACCTGCACAAGTGTCGAGGATGAAGCAGTCTTTGGAGCTGAGCAGCTTCTGTTTGAGGGGCGAGCAGCCCACTTCAGTGAGGAGGAGGGAGCCGGAGTTGTCGGACACCAGGAACAACTTCATCTTCTTCCTGTCTTCCTCTTCTTCGTATGAGTCATCCGCTGTCACCTGGAGGGTGAACGCAAAAATGAGTCATTATTGATATTAGTTAAAAAGTAATTATAAGAATGACAAATTAATTACTGAAAACATCAGACACAAGAAAACGGACTGGTTATTTTTAGGGAACTTATGTATTATCTGCCTCTAAAGCATTATTAAAGCTTACAAGGATAACCGGCGTTCCGACCAGTCTTGAAAAATTACAACAAAATTAGTTTTCCAATTAGTGTCGATTTTTCGGCTTGGTGGAGCCGGAGTTGGAATCTGAGAGAAAAAGTAGAGCTTAGGCTTTTTCGTCAGTCATGTAAAATATTCAAATTGGAGACAAATAACCAGAAAAACAAAATAAAAAATAAAAAAAAATTAAAATTTTTTAAAATAATTTTTCAAAGTTTTTCCCAAATATTTGAATTTTTTATTCCTAAAATGAAGCTAAAACCTCCAAAATATAATTTTTTAGAGTAAAACTAAATTTTCAAGGCTTAAATTAAGCATAAACAAGCTAATGTAAGCCTGCTCACTCGCTCGAAATTAGACAAAAAATCGACACCGGGAAAACTTTTTTGAAATTTTGTGATATTCGAATCACGACTGAAAGGCTTTAATATGATATATCACTCAACCCTGTCCGATGATTATTTGTGGTAGTTGATTTTGCGTGAAAACAAAAAAAAAACTAAAACACCCGAATACAAAGATCAGCCTCATTTTCAATAGTCGGAACACTAAATGTTTTAGCATTCGTATCTGCACTTAAGCTGAGTGAAACCAGATGAAAAATAAACTGAATAAATTGCTTTTATTTCGGTCATGAAATTCGTTGGCCGGTCAAAAGCTATAAAGCCCTGTTAACACAGTGACGCCCGGCAGCAGTTCATAAGCGCACTTCTTCGTACCATAAATAATGACACACTGTGTCCAACGTGAAAGGCTAACATGAGTGAGCTAGGATATCGATTCAATGTTAAAAATAAGTAACAATCAGGTATTAAGTAAGTTATGTTAATACAACAATTCTGATCAAAAGAAAACATTAGCATTCTACTTGTATGGGTGGATTGAGCTGCGCTGGTCTGATTCCGAGTACTCTCTCCATCTCCTTGGGGCAGTAGTCCGTCTCCTCCACCACGTGTATCTTCCCACTTCCCGCCTTCTCATTGTCACGCATCATCACCGCCGTCTTCATTGCCTAGCAGAAAAATAAAATTTAAAATCAACGCTTAGCTCATCAGTTGCGACATTTTTTCACGGGTTAAAGGACAACTTGCGAGCTGTTCGGCTGTTTAACGAAGTCCGCTACTTGTCTTCAAAAAAAAAGAATTAACTGTTTTGACCTGCCTTTAGTGTTTTTTGCTAAATATTGAGCTGGCAATTGTTGTTTCCCTCTTTTATAACGAGCTTGGTTTGTGGGGGCAATTAAACCTTAATTTTTTGAATCTCGATTTTCTTCTGTTGTGAAATTATCAAAATAACCGAAACGGTGTATGTATTTTAATCATGCACGAGTAGTAAGAGTGCAAAGAGTCGACAACCTCATGCTCAAGTGGTGTTAGTTTTACTTATATTATAATTTTATATTATGATAACTATATATTATAATGTAATAATAACTCATGTCATGTCGCATGTAGTGAATATATCACCTGGATGCGTTCCATCTTGTTGCAAGCCCTGCCATTCCACACGAAGAAGTCCTTGTCGATGTCGGCAATGAATGAGTCACCCGAGTTGAATGACTCCCACTTCAGGGGCACCTCACTCACTCGCACTCTCCTCTTCCCCTTCACATGCAGAAGACGCGCCCTGCTCTCATCACTCACCCTATAGTGATAAATAACAATATTTTTAGACAACAAAAATTGCAAAAAGGTTAATTCTATTTGCTAAAAAAATTTTTTTTTTCAATTTTACGTTTTTTTCCAAATGAGTGCTTAAGATTTTTATCAGTTTGATCGGATCATTCTGTGCTACATGCACAGCAGGCGGCTATTGAAACTTCTTGGTTCTTATGGGCTGAAAATTCCTACTTAGCATCGAATTATAAGTCCGTCCTCTACGCCAAAAAGCAGCTTTTGGAAAGGTTTGATCGCCTTTTCTGTTTTTTTCCCACTTAAACCCTATATTCTCTAGCTGTAGCTGTAGTGTAGCATAGATGCTTATCGACTCGATTCAGTCGTGAGTACTGACTTGTTGAGTTATGAATACTGACTTGTTGAGTGCAGTGTCCACTCCGCCCTGTCTGTAGAATATGCCACCAGTGGTGGAGAAGTAGGACAGGAACATGTCACTCTCACTCTGCTGCACTTCTCTGTACTGCACTGCCGCCCCACTTAACAGAGTGTCGTCTATCTCCACCGTCTTGTACGCAGCCACTGTCGACTCATCCTGTACACGTCACAAATAGGGAAAGAGTACTTACTATGAACGTAATATGACATAATAATAACATAATACTATGAACATAACGATATAATAATAACATAATACTATAAACATAATAATGATATACGGTGAACATACTATGAAAAGTTCTCTCTATCAAAATTTTTGCCGGGCGAAAACGCAGAACGCTTTGTGGTTACAACCACTTAAAGTAGATAGCAACTTTGTATTCCGGTATTTTAGTTTTTTCTAACCCTTTCTTTTTTTCTACTGTCATATATATATTATCTCTCTCTAACCTTTAACTATATATTATGTTGATTGGCGCCATTGGTACTGGCTATGTGTTTGGTGCGGCTAACAATTAATTAGTACCTGCCAATGTTAGTTACGTCTGTTGGTGATTTGAGTTTGTTGCTTAACCTTTGAGTCTGGAATTCAGTCAGTATTTATTCAGTGAATTTACGATATAGAATCTGCATTTTGTACATGGCGCAGCAAGCAGGACAAAGCGCGGGAACAGGAAAAAATCCACTTGGAATGACGGCATTATGCTCGGAAGCACCGATGCTGTGGGAGAATTGGATTACACGTTTTTCATGGGGCGTAATAGCAAAACACTCATTCAATCCGACGGCATTCTATTTTAATCGGACGCTAACCGCGGCGCAAATTGCAGATCTGCCAGAGGAGGTGAATGGAAAGCGTCGTCTGCAAGCGGAGCAGACACTAATTTCTAACCTTTATTTGTGTTTGGGGGAACGCGGACAGGACGAACTACATAACCGGAAACCCCATTTGGACCTGGCGACTACCCGATATCCTCGGGTTTTGGATGAATTTGAGAGTGTCTCCAAGAAGGAAAGAAACGAAACGTTCGAGACGTACCAGCTATCTCGAAAACAACGTGACGGGGAAACGTTGGAAGAGTTTCACTCCGTATTGAGTGGACTAGCCGCTAGATGTTCGTTAGGAGCGCTGGAACGACGCGTGTTGCGTGATGTATTTATAGTTATTATGTCTAATAAGGAGGCTCAAACGGAATTATGTCGTTCCACTAAGACACCGGATGAGGTCTACCGAACCGCGTTGTCATACGAGCGGGGTGATAAATACGCCAAATCGTATAAGGTATCCGGTGGGGGACTTACAGCAGCGCCAGCGGGGTCGCTACAAATCAAAGCGGAGCCGATAAGTGCAATCAGAGGAGGTTATCGTCGACCGTTTCAACGAGGTGGACGTGGATTCGGCAGAGGAGGCACGAGGGGCCGCAGAGGAGCGGATCGCAAGTGTTATAATTGTGATCAGAGTGGTTTTACCCCGGATCATATTCCAAAGTGTCCAGCAAGAAATGCAACCTGCAATTTTTGCCGGAAAACCGGGCAATACGAGCGAACGTGTAGAGGACGTCGATCGGCGAATAGGGGTCGTGTGGGCATGATAAATGAGGACGGCACCGATGGGGGGCTTGTGCAAGATTATCCGGAGGAGAGTGCGTCCAACTACGGAAGTTCCGTTGGATGGGTAACTGATTCAAAGGTGCCGGCACACGGATGGGACTCGGATAGTTCAACGGAGTACGTTGTTATGTCAATTCGGCGGAAGGAAGAGGAAGAACTGAGAGTAGCGGGGCAAAGCTGGCCTTAAAGATCAATGGTAAGGCGACTCAAGCCTGGATTGATAGCGGTTCGCCAGTATCTATCTTTACTATTGGGGAATTGAAACGTACACTGGGAGCATGTAATGTACATTTGAAACCGCTGGATCCGAAAGATGACCAATTTTGCGACAACGGCAATAATCCGTTGAAATTTCTGTGGAAAATGCAAGTTACTCTTTATTCCAATGGATGGACCAGCTCGGCGGATATCAATGTCATCGGAGGGTGTAGACCGTCTATTATCGGCAGGGATTTGATGCCAGCACTGGGATTGATGTTGGTACAAGCGCCGCCGGCGAAGTGGGTGCATAGCATACATTCACATGAAGGAACTGTGGAGACGGACGATGACTTGGATGATTGGCAGAAACACTTCAGTAAGCAGTTTCATCATCTTTTTCGCAGGGTAGGGCGTATCCGTAATTATAAAGTGCAGGCAGAATTCTTCAAGAATTTAATTCCAATCCAACAAAAGGGTAGGCGAGTGCCCATAACATTACAAGAAAAAGTCAATAAGGAGATTGAAAAACTTTTGGAACAAGGTCACATTCAAAAATTGGAAGAATGTTCGGATAAATATTTTGTTTCACCTATTGTCATCACAGTGAAAAAGAATGGTTCGGTCAAACTTGCATTGGAATCAAGAGAACTGAACAAGCAGGTACACAAAAATAAATACCAAATGCCCAATATTGAAGAACTAATGGTCATTGTAGGGCAAACAATCAGCGAACGTAAGCAGGGGGATGTTTTTTTACAACAATGGATCTCACGTACGCATACGGAAAACTTCCCTTAAATGAAAATACTAGCAAGCATTGTATTTTTTTTTGGTGGGAGGTCGCTCCACCGGTACGTATCGTTTCAAGACTGGATTCTATGGATTGACAACGATGCCGGCGGAATTTCAACGAGTCATGGATGCTATTTTGTCCGAATTTCTTTGTGCGCATGCTTTTATAGGTGATATCTTAATAATATCAAAAGGTACCAAAATTGAACATATTGCCCTTGTAGAGAAGATTTTATTGAAATTGGATAAGGATAATATGGCTTTGAAACTGAAAAAATGTCAATTTGCGAAAAATACTTGCAAATGGTTAGGCCATCGGATTACAAAATCAGGGATTGCACCAATGGTGCGAAAAACAGATCCGATTGATAAATTAGCCGCCCCGAGAACGCTCTCACAATTGAAGTCGTTTATGGGGTCAATATATAGCCTTCAGAAAAATTTACCTTCGCTGGCAGAAACTTCGGCGCCATTACGTCCACTGCTTAGTAAGAAAAACGAGTTCGTATGGACAAATGACTGCCAAATAGCTTTCGAATCGCTCAAAAAGCAAGTTGCGAATATCGTCGAACTTAAGCATTTTGATGTGCATAAAGATGAACGAATCGTGTGCGACGCGAGCCATAATGGTTTGGGGGCTGTACTTGAACAACTAGGCGCCGAGGGTTGGCGTCCCATATCATTTGCATCTCGGTTTCTAAATGCGGCCGAAAAGAAATATTCGACAAATGAGTTAGAGATGCTGGCCGTAGTTTGGGGTTCCGAGTATTTCAGAAATTACATTTTCGGGCGGAAATTTACTGTGGTGACAGATCACAAGGCTTTAGTATCATTATTGAATGGAAACAATAAGAAAAATAAGACTATGTTTAGTCGATTGACTCGTTGGATTGATCGAATTATTCCCTTTGATTTTGTAATTGAACATATGCCTGGGGCTAAAATTGGCCTGGCGGACTATCTATCAAGGCATCCGGTGGGGGAGGCAACAAGAGTTAGTCTTTATGATAACACTTTCACGGTTACTAAATTGCAGTCAATTACCAATTCACTCGGTTATATTAATACCAATAAAGGGATTATCAAAGCATCAAGGAAATCAGTTGTTTCAGCTAATGATATACAAGTTGGAAATGATAGAGTTAACTCTCCGTCGGAAGAGGGCGTCAAAACGCGTGACCTTCGGTTAACCAATCAGAAGCCAGTGAAACGTATAGCTGAGTGCAATGACCGTGAAGGCGCGAAAATCTACAAATCTATTACTGAGTGTAAATTACGTGAGTCTGATATTAATTCCATTGTAAACAGCAGCCTTCCTTTTGTCAAAAGAAATACTTCAATAATGACATCGATAAACTTGAAGAAGCTAAACAAATTATTATTAAAACATCCAGAAATCACGAAAGGCAGTAGCAACGAGGTGGAGGTGGTAGATGCACGGCTGGAGGCAGAGACAATGCATACTAGGGACGTCAGATGCAACACGGTAATCTCCATTCCTTCGGCATTCGGAGGCGAACTATTTCCGGCGGCATATCCAGCGGGAGGTAATGTAATTATGTCAGTGATCCCCCGAGACTAAAAAACGTCCGGAAAAGCAGTGCACTACCTGAACTATTCAACCTCAAGCTAGTCGAGGCCAATTATAAAGGGGACCCTCAGATGCGTGCGATAAAAGAACTGGTGGAAAGCAAGGACCCGGAGTTGGAGAAGAAGGTCAGAGCAATGGGTGCCTACCTCGGACAGCACACACATGATTTCCATGTGCGTGAGAAATGCCTGTGGATGTTCGAACGACACGTCATCCCCATTCCACTCAGGAAAGCCGTGGTTAACCGAATTCATTGTTTTCAACACGGGCGCTCCAATATGTTCGATGCAGCAAGGACTGTGTGGTTCCCCTATCTCCACCGGATTTTGGTTGCAGCTGCGGATGGGTGCAAGGAATGCACTGATGCAGGTAAAAGCCTTAAACCATTATGCGCTAAAGGTGATATTGGGAAAGTTTGTGAACCACGTGAGCCGAAAGAAAGTCTACAACTAGATTTTTGGGGTCCAATTAGATATCTAAATGAATCAAGTAAATATGTTTTGGTAGCGGTTGATCGATTCTCACGCTGGCCCTCTGCAATGATCTGTGGGAATAATAAAAGCGATAAGGTCCTTAAGTTTATTAAACAATACATATCTCATCACGGTGTCCCTAGGAAAATTTTCATGGATCAAGGATCAAGTTTCACATCGAAAGCGGTTAAATCGTTTTGTAATTCCGAAGGAATAGAAATAATATATTCACCCGTGAATGATCACCGTGCTACCGGATGTGTCGAACGTACCATTGGCAGTCTGAAAAATTTTGTTTTAACTTACGCCAAAGAAAAAGATAGCGAAAATTTGAAATCAATGGTAGAACGAGCTTTAAGTGCTCTTAGATTTGCTCCGAATGCTACTCTCAAAACATCGCTGTTTGAAGCTCATCACGGCAGGGAAGCAAATACTGTCATTCAAAATCTTACGAAGAAGCTAACTTTGCGAATTCTTAATTGGGACAGAGTGTTGAAACAAAACTCTGCCTATTTAGATTCTACTGACCCATGAGCTAACAAGATTCCCCAACCTATGGCGACTGATTGGGAGGAACGATCGGACATTGAGTATGACGTAGAACACATGAACCACCCTAGACGACTGGCACAGGAGCAATTAGTTTCGGCGGCGGATGGAACGTCGATGGTTGGTGTCAAACGAGCCGTGGGGGGGGAGTCAAAACAGCCGAGCAAACTGACAGAGCTCTTTTTTCAACGCCTTAAGGACAATAATAAGAGGTATAGACCCGTAAACCAGAAAGTAGTTAGCGAATCTAAGCATACTCTAACCTTATCAAATGGCTCTGTACTTAGGAAAAGCGGAGTTGCTGGGAAAGTCCTCAAGCCCAATGAGCCGAAAATTTCGGAAAAAGTAATACTACCACCCCCAACTATGAGTGCGCTGAAACGTCGGGCAGAGTTAAAACGAGCGCAAGAAGAGCAGGCTGCGGGGACAAGTACACGGAGTACAACCGAAGCTAGTACGCGAGCAATGTCACAAAATCGGGACTATGAGGAGGAGGCAGACTCGGATTCAGAGTACGAGCCACTAACGATTCCACGATACGCCGGGCAAAACAAGGATACAACAACAACAGTTGAACCTGACCGGGGCATGGGTTTGAATGCACCAGCGGCGTCTAACGATACAGAAGTCGTTGCGGAAAAATCAAAAACATCCAACGAAAGCGGCGTACCAGCATCCACTGGAGTGGACACCGAAGACCAAACCATGAATACCGGAAAGGGGGAAGTGCCCCGCATTTGAGCAATGAAACACAGCCGGGAAAACAAGCTAAAAAAGAAAGGGGAGCGAGTTCGTCGACAACGTCTCGTCTCATATTCTAGTCAAGAATCACAAGATTCAGATGGAGCAGGATCAAGAAAAAGTACCAGAAAGCGGACGGCGGTATCCAAATTCGGCGGGGTTATGAGAGACAGCATATTCAAAACGCGAAAGAACAAAGGAGAGGAAGACAGAGAGCGGGACACGACCTAATTAGGAAGATGGAACTAGGAAGATGGATTGAAGGAAAATGAAAGAGTAAGCTATTAAAACCTAAACTTATGCCCAGGGAGAGGGTGGACCCCTGTGGGTCTAAAACTCAAACATTTATCCCTTGGATAATTTTTAAAAACTTCTGTTTAAAAAATGATCGTTGAGGGAAAGTCATATATTTATTATCTCTCTCTAACCTTTAACTATATATATTATGTTGATTAGCGCCATTGGTACTGGCCATGTGTTCGGTGCGGCTAATAATTAATTAGTACCTGCCAATGTTAGTTACGTCTGTTGGTGATTTGAGTTTGTTGCTTAACCTTTGAGTCTGGAATTCAGTCAGTATTTATTCAGTGAATTTACGATATAGAATCTGCATTTTTCACACTACGAAAATCCGGCACCACAACTAATCAAAGTTTGTCGAGTGATATATCGTATTAAAGCCTCTTGAGTCAGGATTCGAACATTAAAAAAATTCAAAAAATTATCCCAGTGTCGCGAAAAACCGTCACGGAATTTCTGAGATTTAGTCTAATTACGAGAGAAATAAAATTAGTTTTTGTAGTTTGATTACACTCTTTTAGAAATCAAAATCTTTCAAAAATAGTTTTCAAAATTCAAAAATTTTCTGCTAAAAAAATTTGAAACAAATTAAAAATTATTTGTTAATTTTTTACTATTCTTTTTTCTTTTTTCTATTCATTTTTGTTCAAACACTGTTTTTCGATTCGCCTATTTTGTAATAATTGTCGAATATCCTGAATTTCTAGAAAAAAAAAACTTTTTTTTCGTAATTTCTTATACATTCTGTGCTACTTGCGCAGTAAACGGCTATCCTTTTTTCTATTTCCTTTCACTCGAGTTGGTCGCAAAAAAAATAAAAACTATTGTTGCCGGTTGCAGTGCAAACGATCTGATTATCAGTTTAAGATAATTTACAACACCAACTTAAAAAACCACATGCAAAGTTTGACGTTTTTTGAAGTTCCTGTTTTTCTCGAAAATTCAGATCTATTTCTGGAAAATTTCTTTTTTTTTGCAAAACTCTGGTTCTTTCACTTTAATACAAAATTAAGAAGCATAAATTGGAAGTTTCCTTGATAAATTCGATTCACGGCTTTTAAGTTACCTTTGTCGTTTGAGTGATCATTCGCCAATTTTTTTGTTCAAAAATTATTCATGCACTTGCGTTGAGAAAAGTGCCTTGTTAAAATATAAAATTGAAAATCATGTTGAAATAGGTTTTGCATCTTTAAAAAAATGTTTTTCGGGCTCTTTCGCGCCATGCTTGTTGTTCCGACTTTCGATACGAAAGTAACGGAATATTTGTGCTCGGGGTAGGTTTTTTTTTCTTCAGACAAATTTCGACTTTTTAACTAGCCATTTTTGACGGAATTTATTTTTATTTTTCGTAAAGTTACGGGGGTTTAAAGATTGCCATTTTGGCCAATTTGGTACAATTAACGCGCGATATATTTCGCGCTATTAACGCGTAAGCGGAGAGTTAATACGTCTTAGAAATCGTTCCAAATTGGTTAAAAGAAGCTTATTTGCCATAATTGGTTTGTTGCAAGGAGCGAAATTTATCCTTTTCTACTTTATATGGCGTGTGGGGGGATGATTTTCATAAAAAATTTCAAATTTTAGAAAGTTTTTTTTTTCATTTTGTTTTATTTCAGTGAATTTTTTAATGTTATTACTGCTCCATAAACCTTAAAAGGCAGTCGGAACATTCAGGGCTTCGCCCTGATACGAGCAGTCTTGTTTGTTTTGGGCCTCGTTATTTATCAATTATAGTATTGGCAGCTCTACTCTGTCTCACCACAGAAGTGTTCTTGCCCAGCCAGAAGTGTATGTTGAAGCTGAGTTGTCTGCCCCTGCTCTCCTTAATGCATATCACTATGTAGGAGTCCCCCTCGTAGAACACTCCCCACTCCTTCTCCCCCACTCTCACCAACGCCATCTTCTGAAAAAGATTTTCAAGGTTTTCAAACAAATATCTTGAAAAATTGGCTCACTTGATTTTTAGTACTATCCTTAGATTTTTTGTCGAAAACATTTTAAAAAAATAGATTTCTTGTCGCAAACATTTCAAAAAAGTTTTCGAGGAAATTTGAAAATTTGATGGAAATGTATAGTTCTATTAAATTATTGTTTTAATTAATTTGCTTCATTTCCCATCAATTTGAGATACGCATATGCACTACGCTCTGGTTTCACACAATTTTGGAAACTTTTTATAACTCAGTGTTGTGTTTCCATTACTTTGCGTATCAGGAACAATAAATTGAGGTGCAATAATGCTAGAATAGTCAGCCTCTTTAGGCAGATCTGGGAAAAGGCGGAACAGTTTCTGCCTATTTTTTTTTTTACTGAAGGTGAGATAAGATGAAAGTATTTCACTCACATGAGGTTGACCATCGTTGGGTTCAAGATCTCTTAGTATAAAATGAGATGAGACCAGAAATAGATGTGAAAAATATCAACTTTCAAGGGAGGATTGCGAACGAGCTGTTCATAGCCCCCTCCCCTTTGGTACTTAGTAACGAATTGCCACTCCTATAATCACCAGCGGATTTAGGGTGGCGGGTGTGGACGCCCCCCTGCAGACCCAAAGGGTCCCCCTTTGTACTAATTTGAAATATCCATTTTCGGCTGAATATTTTCTAATATCCATTTTCACCCTGAATATTTTCTAAAGCTCCAATTTTTGGCGCCTTTTGGCGCCAATTTTTACTTAATGTTAGTGGGAATTGTGCGCCGAAAGAACGCGATTTTTGGGCAAAATTTTCCGAAAAGTGTCTAAGAATGCATTTTTAGAACTGTTTTTTTTTTCAAAATATTGCCTGCGGCGCAGAAAATTTTGCCAAAGCGGTCTTTTTATTGCTTTGGGAGTTCTCGGGGAATTGATATAGTCAACTTAAAAAAGGTCGACAAAATTTTCAAACGTTTTTTGAAAATCTACCCCCACTCGTCAAATCCCTAGATCCGAACCTGCCTATAATGAAATAATTCAACGCTTAATTATTTGCAATTCTGTACCTTGTAACAAAAACGTCCATATTTTTCTAGAAAATATTAAAAAAGGCGGCAAATAATTGGGCCGTAAAAATGCCGCTTAAACATGTCGTTCTTGAATGAGTTTTGTTAAATCAAATCCGTTATTTTCATTGTTAATTGCAGGATTTGTTTTGCTCGGTGTAAGTTATTTTCTTGATTTATGGCATCTTGATGGGAAGCCTTGACTTTGCGCGACCCATGTTGCAACTTTGCGCGACTCATGTTGTGACTTGGCGCGACTCATGTTGCGACTTTGCGTGACCCATATTTCGACTTTGTGCTACTCATGTTGCGACTTTGCGCGATCCATTTTCATCTATATTCCAACTTTGCGCGAGCCATGGTGCAATTTTTCGCGACTCAAGCCTCTTGCGGAAGTATGGAATTTTGGTCGCAGAAAGTCCATTTCGGCGGCCCCTTTGGTCGCAACATGAGTTGCGGACCTCGGCACGAGATGTAGCCGCCTTAAATATGTCGAAAACTTGCAACTCTAACGGAAAAAACAAACACGTTGATAAAGATTGAAAACATTGCTGATTTTCAATCAAGTACGGATGTGAGATTCTTTCGAGGGGTGGATTATTGAAACAATTTCGAAATTTTTGTTGATTTCTTCTAAATTGACCAAATTGATTTTCTTAGTCTCTTCAAAATTACTGTAAAACCCTATTTCGAGAACGTTTTCTGAGCCGCAAGCGAGTAAATGAAAAACTACCATTTTCAATTTTTGAAATATTTTGGCCAAAAAATAACAATAATTTGGCGCGCTTCCATCTAAATTTTTGTATCATGGACGCCGTTTTGGATATCGTAAAATGGCATCAATAAAGGGATTTCAGTAGTCAGAGTTTAGTTCCTAAGCTGTTGGGTGGGATAATGATGAAAAATACGAATGCTGTATTAATATTTTTGTCGTGTAATCTTCAACCAAATTTCGTCAACGAAATTTCAAGTATTTTTAAACAAGAATAAGGACAGCTGGTTTCTGTGCATGTATCACAGAATGTTCCGATCATAATTTTTACAAAAACTACAAAATATTTATTTTTTAAATTAGCGTAGTTTTTTCTTGTGACAGAAGGATCTGGCGTAAAACTCTAATTTAGGCAATATCGACAGTCATAGTAAAATAGGCAAGTTAGACCAAAAGTTTTTGGTCTCGACAAGGGCTCTAAAACTTCCAAAAACTAATTTTGCTTGCCTGAATTTAAGTTTTCATGGCTTAAATTAAGCATAAATAAGCTGTTGTAAGCCTGCTGGCTCGCCTAATTCGATTGAAATTGAAATTGAAATCAAAAATTTGAAACCAGTTTTCTCGATACTGAGTAATATTTTTGAAAAAAATTCTAATGTCTTTCAAATAATGGCTGAAAAAAAATAAACTTTAACTTTTTTGACCAATTCCGATCATTATTTTTAGCATCTGATTTTGCGTGGAAAAAAAAAGAGAAAAAAAATACTAATGGTCGGATCAATAACGGGGAACAATTTGACTTTGCTGCGCTAATAGCAGAAAAGGTTTCAAGTAAAAATAAAAATTGATTTATTAAACAACAGCAAACCTAGCTTTCAAAAACTAATCAAAAATTTTAAGGTATGGTGTTGCTCTAGTTTTATTTGTAGCACAATGATGTGCATTTTTTGCCAATATAACAAACCAATCAAAATTCAACGACTTCAAATCGTTCTTTTTTTCTACACAAAATTTTTTTCAGAATTTTTTATGGCATGCCAAATCATGACATAAATGGTTCGAATAAGATGTATAGCTCAGCTCTATATTGTCGTTTATTTGTGTTTTTTTTCTAGTGTTTCGTGAAAAAATATCATGCCTTCCGAGATTGGAACAGTAAATTATTTTAGTGGTAGGTATTTTTTGTTTTGAGACGCATTTACAGAGTTACTTTTGACTATGGCGTAGAGCTTTCGATTGATATCTTTGGAACATATCTGGGAAGAAAATTCAGGTGACTGCAAATAAAAATGTGGGATAAAATTATTAATTTTTCTAATATAATGAAATAAAATCCCAACGGTTTGTAGAATTACAAAACAGTGGTTTTAAAAACCATTCAATGTTTTAGCACGTGTATGAAATGTGCCACATAAATATATGTCAAATTGTTTATTTTAATTTTTTTGCAAAAAATGCTGAGAAATTCTTAGAATTGTGTCTATAATAAGGGCTATAGTAGAAGTAACTGGTTGTCAAGTGGTCGGAAATATAAATAGACCCTAGCTCAAAAAGTTCATGCTTCCATGCTTTATTCCTAAGTTTTGAAGATTTTCCGTTTTTTCTTCAAACTGAGTAAACCTGCAATTGATGAATTCACAGGTTATAATAACCTTTTACAGCATACTTTTTTTCTATATGTTTAATAGTTTTCATCATCTGCTGTTGGCTAACTTCGATTCCCAATAGCAAAAAAAAATGCCTTTGATGCAAACAGTGTCAAGTTAATGTTACAGCTAAAACCAGTTTCACAACATTCTTTTCAATGTTAGCTAAATCAGAGTCACAGTATTCTTTTTTGCACAAGGGGGCGGATTTTCAAAAACAAATCGAAAATTTTGTCGAGCTTTTCTGGCCTCAAATCGTTTCTACTCTGTTTAAGCAGAACACTTGGATAATGAAAATACACAGCTGAGCTGGGGGATGCTATTTCAAGCATCTCATAGCTATTCATGTTAGAAATTATCATGCGAAAGCTAAAGTCGTCCGGTAAAATTTGGTCGCTTGTTTTTTTTATCGGTTATATGAAAACTGCCGCCGGAAGATGTTGCAATTTTCTGCTTCGACTATTCTTACAGATGTAGAGCAGGATTTTAAGTACATTGAACTAGAGTTGAATACTGGCTTGCAATTTTCTGCTACTCCAATTTTAATTCACTTCGAAAAAAGTGCAATATAACAGATTATCTGGTAATATCTGAAAAGATTATCTAGATTATCAGGAAATACTGATGCAATACCGAAAAGAGTTTCCAAAGTTGACTCATAAAAAAGTTAATAAGTGATTTTTAGGAATAGCACTTTGCGATTTTCTGCCTAGCCTTGTTCTCAGATGCCTTGCTTCTTAAGAAAAATCATAGTGAAGAGAAGCGGTTTCATGCTTCTTTTCTGTAGCATATTTTGTTCAAGTTCTGAATGCAAAAACAAATGAAAATTTTAAATAATTTTGTTTCTACTGTACCAGAAGTTGGTGTTGCAGTTTTTTGCTTCGCCAAACGCGTTGATGTCTCTGTTTGACAGTTAAATAACCGGAATATCAAACTTAACATATGTTTATTTCTTAATTTAAGCTTTATTGCTCAACGACCCTGCTTATTTATTATTCAACGACCCTTTATTGGTTCTTATTCCAGTCAATGCATTTTTGTGATGACTTTTGATCTAAATAAACATCACAATTTAGTATTAAAAAAATTAAAATTGTTCAAAAAATCATTAAAATGGCAAAATCAAAAGTTTGAAGCAACATCACTTAGAACCACTGTCAAAAAAGGGATCTAACAGCTCTTATTGCAGAACATAAGATCAATGAATCAAAATTCTGATGAGTTCCTAAGTACGTTGAATACGAACACGTCACCATTAGTAATTGAACTTACAGAGACGTGGCTTAATGACGACGTCGAAACATGTCTGTTTTTGTTGGAAAGATATCATCCTATGAGGATGACTAACAGATTGCAGATAGGAGAAGGAGTGGCCACACTCGCTTCTACAAGTTGAGAAATGGAGTTCCTTAACGAACTGGAAAATGATAATTTGCAAATACAAATGATTGAAATCAAAATCGATAAAAACAACTCCTCCGTACTTACAACACTATACAAAGCACCACAAATAAATACAGAAGAATTCCTTGATTTGCTTCCTGAGTACTTCTTAGCATCAATCAAATTGTAACCAAAAACACGAAACTCTGCGCGGCGATTTTAAAATTGACTTGAATAAAAACAACAAAGTAGTGTCCAGTCTGAAAAACACTCTCAGAACGTTTGATCTAGAACTTGTCAATGATCTTAAAACCACCCAAGATACGGAAACAAGTTCGACTTTCCTTAGTTTTTTTTGCAACTATTCATGCTGAAACGACTGTAGATGCTCTTAATGTATTGGAAAATCACTCAATTCAAATGACTTTTCTTACAAATACCTTCAATCAGAGCAATAAAGAACCAATTTAAATATCGAAACGACCCTTAAAATGTTCAGAAAACGATCATTTTTTTATAGAAAGCAAATTATTGGTTCTTTTTAACGAGACTGAATTACTGGAGCCATTGAACATGGATGACAACTGGAATCTTTTTATCGAAAGCACAGCAGAATATTCCGACAAATATATTCCAAAAACTCAGAAACAAAATGTTGCAATTGAAAAAGCTGTGTCAGAAGTCTGGTAAAAACGCTTGCAGCAAAACTAGAGTTTATACTGCCACTATAAAGAAAATCCATACACAGAAAACAAAATAGCTCTTGTAAAATTAAATTAGCATGTTAATTTAGTTTGTTGCAAACCAAGGCCACACACGATCAAAATCGAATACAGTTAAAGTCAAAAACCAACATGAAAAAAGTTTACATTGTAATTAAGGAAATAAAAAGCAACAACATTAAGCTAAAACGAAGTATCCGTCATCTGTGGAATTTAGTTTCCATTTTGCATCATTTAGAGAAAAGTTATCCAAACAGCACAAAGCCATCTGCAAATTTAGCACACCAAAATGAAAATAAAAATAATATGTATTTGGAAGAAATTAATGTGACAGAAATTTGCAAAATAATCAAGGGACTAATAGTCAAGGATAGTCAAGGCATCCACGAGCAAAACAATTTTCCTTTTAAAAAACGAATCCTGTTATTTGCGAATGAATAACAATCCTAAATAGAAAATCACTGTCTGAATGCAATTTCCCTAGTTGCTTGAAAGTTGGAAAAATTCATCCAGTTCAGAAAAAAATTGGGCCACAAACAGAGTTAAGCAACTATAGACCAATAACTTTAATTCCAACTCTGGCAAATTTTTTTGAAAAAGTTATGTTTAAAGGGACAATTGATTTTTGCAGAAGTTTGGTTTTCGTAGCAAACGAGGCACAGTTGAAGCAATGACTGAATTTACTGAATGTATAAGGAACTTTTTAAGCAACAAAATGCAAAGACTTGTCCAATGCTTAACCTTTCAAAAGCTTGTGACACTGTTGACCATTGAATTTTGATGAAAAAAAGTAGAGCGTATGGATTAAGGGGGAACACGGAAAATATGATATCAACGTATCTGAAAGATCGGTTTCAATGTGTAGTAGTAGAGAACACGGTATCTAGTTCAAAAACTGTCGCCTATGGAGTTCCACGGGTCAGTTTTAGGGGCCCTTTTTTTCTCTAATATATATGTATGATCAGGCGAAGTCTTGTGTGAACTCAAAATTAACCCTTCATGCCGATGATTGTAGCCTAATTTCTACAAAATATGGAAAAAGATGCAAAAGCAAAAAATTTAGAAAGTGTTAAAGCGAAAGTGTTAAAGCGAAATCAAATTAACTCTTAACCAAGATAAAACAAAAAAATATAGATCAAAATCAACCCAAATGGTCAATCCAAATGTAGAAACGTCCCCAAAGTATCTTGGCTTCTATTTGGATGATAAGCTGAGTTTCATGCTGAAAATTTTAAAACAAATTTAAAAAGAACATCTCGAAATGCGTCCACAACAAGAGAAAACTTAAAAATAGGGTTCGTTCATTCTTTAACTACTTAATCATTTCTATGCCTTAGACAAAACGTTAATTGAGGACTTATTGAATTGTCAAAAGAGCTAGCTAAGTTCAGTTTTGCATCTTAGACGGGATCTTTACATTTGTGATAACGAGTTTTAGATTAATGTTTTTTGGTAGTAAAAATTAACTGTATTCTCTGCTGTTTGCTCATGAAGACACCACTCGACAAGCAGCTATATGGCTTGTTTCGTTTTCCTCCAAGATGGGATTTTTTAAAATTATTTTGAGTTATCTAAATAATAATCGAGTCTCTTCCCTTCTTGAAAACCAATTTATTATTATTATTATTATTATTATTATTATTATATTCATAGCAGGAAAAATAGCCCAACTGACGTTAATTAAAGTCGAGTAGGCGGCCTTGAGGGTCTGTTTACCTCACCTCAATTCTCCAGCATGTAACGCCTGGTTGTTTCACTAGTGACATCAGCATGGGGTCATCTTTAGGTTTTCCGCCTGCAGGTGCCATCGCCACTCCCTTCTCGCTCAATAACTTATTAACCAACAAAATTATAATACAATTGAGTACAAACAATATATGTCAAATGCGTGTATAACGTGGGAATAAGTTAGTGCTAATTTATAACTTGTTACTTGAATGAGTAGCAACACTTAAGTTTTTTTCATGTAACCCTTAAGAATAACTATCTTATTACAACAATCCATCGAAGATATTTTGGGTTTGGAATTTGAAATCAAACTGCATACGAGGAAATTTTTCAGCGGAACTTCTTTGGAATCAGATAAAGAAACTACCAACATAAAAAAACAAATTGGACAGATTTGAATGGCAATGTACAGCCTTGGTAACAGAGTTAATAAAACTATCAACAAATCTTCGTCTTGAGCGGTGAAAAAAGTTTGAGTAAGCAAGTATTTTTAGTAATCAAAAATGGTGAAAGTCATCAGTAAATGTCTTCCCGGGACCCCTTGGGTGAAAATTGACGAAATTTAGTTAGAAATTTCAGCGACTGTCTTATTTTGAAAACGGATATGAGTACGAATTTTAAAATTTCAACGCATAGCGCCGTACTGCAATATGCGTGCTGTTTTCCTTGTTTTTATGCGTTTTCGAGTCTAGTTTCATTTTTTTAAAATGTACAAGTCGTAAACATACATTTGTAGGGGTAGTGTTTCACCTCATTTAAAAAGATGCTGCGAAAGAGTCGAAATAGTAACTAAAGTTAACGTCAAAAATTACAGCTTATTAAAAAGGAAATCAGCCGATAACTAAAACGTTTACTCTGCCAAAAAACAACAAGAGAAAGCGGTATTTGTTGAATGATAAAGATAACTTCATTGGATGAGCAAAAAGCCTGAAATTTTCAAACGGATGAAAAATGCGGAAGGATGCTTAATTGAATTTGCCAGCATAGTGTGGAACATATGATTGCAGAAAACTGAGGAATTTTGATTTTTTAAAGGATTTGATTTTTCTGACCAAAGAAACATGCAAAAAACATTCGGTAGGTTTTGAATCAATATCTTGAATTCCGATTAAAGGCGTGCCGTATACCATTTGGAATCACGTGATTTAAGTCCTCGTAAGAAAATAGTCCTATTTTAACATTTTCCTTGCTCCATAAACAAGATGGTGCTAAAATAACATCAGTAGAAAAATTAAATGTGTCGTCATTAAATTTTTTGGCATTCAGAACAAAATAACAAGGCTCTGCAATTTCGGTTTAGTGGATTCATAAAATCGAAAATATGAGAAAAGCGGAAAGCAATTAGTGAGATCTGAAGGTCGATGTGGTTTTACTATTTGTAAGTATTGGTTCTGTATTTGCTCAAAAATCTTCCTCGAAGAAGGAAAAGTCTTTTTGATGGAAGGAAATCTAAGCGATGTATTTTTGATAACTGAGTACATTTAGCTGGACTGCGAAAAAATTAGACCCTTTTAGCTAAGTTTTTGATAGAAAAGGAAATTTTCCTCTAGAACAGCTGTGATTTTCAGGTTCTGACAAGTATGGCCAGTTGTCATGCAAGTAGCACAGAGTGCAGCCACTCCAGTGTGAATGAAGTAATGTTAAATGATAGTGAAATCAGATTGTGTGATCCGAGATGAGTTAATTCGTAGGATTAATCTGCTGTAAGCTAGCATGAAAACCAAAAGTCTGCAGCACTTAACTGTAAAGTAATTTTAGAAAAAGTCTTATTAAAAAGAATCTTACGCTTGCGATTAGCGAGCGTTATCAAATGGGAATGTAGACATTTTTTTCGAGTTAACAACTATAGTTTAACAACATCAGTTGAATCACTTGACCATGCTGTTCGCCTGACCTACTCTTCAGCTGACTTCCTCAATTTCGAGAAAACTCAAATTTAACTACTGGCTGTGTACTAGTTACAACAGGGTAGTTTCAGGGGTGACTGGAAAGTTTCATACAAAAGTTTTTTTTTCGGCTCAACTGGTATCTGCTCAAGGATTTGTTTCCGCTTCATAAAGTTTGTTCAGTTGCTAATTTAAATTTCAAATGTCTTGCTTGGCATGTTTGCCTAGAAATCTTGTTTCATTAAAACAGGTATTTTGAAAGTGTATGGGATTTGGCCTTTTTATTTTATTTTTAGACGCTTCAGAAAATACTTTTGCGAAAATTTTACTTTTTTCTCAAAAACTCTTCAACCGAATTTCAAAAAAGGGTCATCCATTAAAAAGACCGATTAAATTCTTGTGTACCTGCATAGTCTCCTGGTCTCTTTTTGTTTTCTAATTTGTCTACAGCCTTCGAAAAGGTGTATGGGCGGAATTTTTGACCGACATGTTTGATTTTTTCGTTTTCTCAAAAAACTAACCTACTAAATCTCAAATTTTGATTGCAGCAAACAGATTGGATTTAAAAAGCTCCCCTACTTAAGCGGTTATGACCCAAGTGTTTAACATTTAAAATTAAGGCCCTCGAAATATTCAAGTTTTAAATTTTTTTTAAACGTTGCTTGATTCTTTTTGATTTTTTCTCAAAAACTAACCTCCAAAACCTTAGTTGATGGGTTCCATTGAATTATCGGGTAGTAAGAAGCTCCCCTGCATTAGCGGCTTTTCACAATTTTTAAATACAAGTATGCTATCGTCCTCGGAAATCTAAACTTTGTTTAAAATTATAAGCTCGGAAAAGTCTTTAAATTTAAACGCTTTTTAAATTTTTTTGACATTTCTCGAGAACTACCCTACCAAACAAAGGTTTTTGGTTTTAATCGAAATAAAAGATTGGAAGAATCTCTTCTGGTTAAATGGCTACGCTCACTTTATTTTAACTATGGATCTCAGAAATGTCAACTTTCTGATTTGTTGATCGTTTTTGGACTTTTCAATAACTATCCTGCCAAAGCTGCCAAGCTACGGATCTCAGAAATGTTAACTTTCTAATTTATTGACTGTTTTTTGGACTTTTCTCAATAGCTATCCTGCCAAAGCTGCCATATTTATGGATCTCAGAAATGTTAACTTTCTGATTTGTTGACCGTTTTTCGGACTTTTCTCAATAACTAATCTGCGAAAGCTGCCATTAGCTATGGATCTCAGAAATGTTAACTTTCTGATTTGTTGACCGTTTTTTGGACTTTTCTCAATAGCTATCTGCCAAAGCTGCCATAGCTATGGATTTCAGAAATGTTAATTTTCTGATTTGTTGACCGTTTTTAGGACTTTTTTCAATATCTATCTTGCCAAATCTGATATCTTGTGTTTAATTGACCCAACAGGCTGTTCGAAGCTTACATTTAAAATTTGCTACACCCGGCCGGTCTCTTTGAGAAAACAATTATGGCTTTCAAACAAGTGAAAGTTTTGAAAATTGGACCGTTTTTCTGGACTTTTTTTTATTCTACTCGAAAATTACCGTGCCAATTCTCAGGTTGAGTGTTCAATCAAGAAACCCGATTTTGGGAATTTTCTCTACTCAACCGGTCACGACTTGATATTAGCAGAATAAAAGTTACCAATTTCGGAAAGTCAACTACCCTATCATATCTGAGATAAAAATTTCAATCAAAAAAAGCGGTTGCACTAATTTTTCATGCAGAGGCGGCTGCTCCTTCATTTTTTGTAAGAGAATAGTTAGGTCTTTGAAAACAAATTCACTCTTCTCACCTATTTTAGTAGAGAAACAACTAAGGTTGCGGAGCAAAGTCCAATTTTTGAAAATACGCATTTCGTCCCGCATCCTTAGAACAAATTCAAAATATATAAAATAGGTAAAGCCAGCTTTAGCTGAGCCCTATGTGCCATTCATCGAGACATCCAAAACTTTTGGTTCACTTAGTTTTTTTTCATTATTTTTCATTTTGTTTTGGCTTGAGCTTTTTTTAAGATTATGTTGTATTGCAATTGATGCAAAGTTCCGCTTCGTCTTTGTGTAAAATGATACCATGCTTGAATATTTACAAGTGTTTTTTGAGGTACATAAAATTCGAGCGAAAAGCCCGCTCTACTTTTCAGCTCAACAGAAGGATCTCGCGGCTTTGAGCCTGGAACGAAAAAGAATACGTTATGTACGTTAAAAAACATATTTCGTACTGTCAAAAAGTGGTTTGTAATCGGTTTTGATTTGATAATAGAGAGATGTTTTAAGAAACGTCGATCGAAACTATTTTCAATTGGCAATATGTTTGCTTGTATTATATCACCAAGAAACTAGTTAAATTTACTTCAAACCAAATCCAATTCGTTTGTATTTGAAAAATAATCAATATTTTTATACCAAGAAATAAGTTAATTTCAATCAGTTTAAAATCAATCAAAATCAACTCATATCAGTTTATATTGATTTTTTGCAGGATTTTTTGAGTTCTGCGAAAATCAATTTATGGATAACTTATCAACGTGAATAACAAAACTGCAGTTGTCACATTACTTATTTTCATGACGCAGTTTTCACATATTTTCTAGTTGCAAAATTTAGAAAAATCAACATAATCAATAAAATTACTTTTTATTATAAAAATAGTAGGAAAATTAGTTTAAAAAAAAGGCAATTTTGGGGTTGTTAATTGAATCAAATATATAAACAATTTTCTGCACATTTCAAAAGTTTTTTACTCAACTTTCATGCTGTTTTGTTACCTAATTTACTTGAGGCGACAATTCGTAACAAGTAACAATTTGTTACAGGCAAAAATTTTTAACAAGCGACAATTCGTAAAAATAGGTTAAGCGAGGAACACTGATTCTCGAGCAGTATTCTTTTAGTGCCGGATGTAAGTACAACGGAGCAATCTACGGAGCATTCTACTTGCCAATGTCTTGTTGTGAATTTTCGCCTGTTACATATTGTTGCCCTACCCCTAATTTGTTCAAATCTGTGTTTTTAAACCATTTTTGTTCCCACTACAACATACGAGGTCAATTATGGCACTTTTACACCCCATAAAAATGAATTTAGTTTCGTAAAACCTATTGTGGAAAATTTTTTCCCTTATCAAGGACAACGGGACAAAATTATTCCATTTTTGAGACTTTTTTTACTACGGATAATAATTGAAAGAAATCAACTATTTGGTTTCTCCGACTGTTGACATAATTTATGACCATTCCAAGCATAATCATTGCTATGGTTGGAATAATTGAGTGGAAAAATTGAATAAAACATTATGTTCTTGAAATCTTTTTTCCAGCTGTGGTTTTGTCGAATTTGGTTTATTTTTTCACATGAGTTTTTTTTACCGGGACGGAGAAACTAAAGGCACGCACCTACTTCAAATTTTTGTAATAAACCTCTAACTTTTCTATCGTTAGTTAAATACGATAAAAACTAATTACCTTTTTCACTCAGTAGACTTGTTAAATCGATAGGCTGTTTTTTTATAAAGCGAGCTATGTTTAATGTTATATGAGAAACAAAAAACTCAAAAAATTTTTAATCCAAAAAATTGTCCGTTATTGCACTAAGTAGATATCTTTCAAATTAAAACTTTTTCAGGTTTATTTGAAAAAGTTTCAAAAAGGATTTCTTGAATGACAACGAAAACTTAATGCAACTTTTCTTCTAAAAATTGCACGTTCTGTTTGCAGTCTTTTTCCTTCTATATACTATAGGTTTTCCCCAGGACATTATCTCAAGAACAAATT